AAATTATTCACTACAGTGAATATTCTTCTGCTGTTATTATAGTTGATGTCGATGGTCAAAAGCAAAATACAACCTGAAAACCCTGGGGGAGAGGGACAGAATCCCAGTCAAGCCAAGGCTCTTTTGTGGTAATAGGCTGAAATCTACTTAGTTGACCGTGATGAAGGCAGGGGGAGAGTTTATAACCAGTTCCCCAGTGCCTTATTCCACCTCCACTGCTGTGAAGAGGACTCCATAGTTCCTCGTTAGAGTACCTACCTTCCTGAACTAGCTGCTCTAGCAAGAGAGCAGGGAACTTTCAGTATTCAGCTACCAATATAGCCGAGCCCCCCAAAAGCTGATTTTATTTGAATTTTATTTAGGTTTATGCAGCTATAACCCAGCTGCCAGCCATTTAAACATAACAGCTGGCAGGTGGAGCCACCAGTCAGCTTTTGGGTTTAAATGCCTGCCTGGTGGCCATTTCAGTGCTTTGTTTCACTCCCCCCACTCTGGAGCAAGGCTGAGTGAAAGAGAAGGCTGAAATGGCTTTCTCCCATGTACAGTTTACATGGGAGGAATGCCTTCCCTCCCCTCCCTAAGCTGGCTCGGGGAGAGAAAGAAAGGCATTTAAACATGTCTTTGCTCTCTGCCTTGGGAAGGCAGACCAAAGGGGGCATGTTTACATGCCTTCCCTTCCCATGGTGGTGCACCTGGGGAAGGGAAGGCAGAGAGAGAAAACATGTTTGTATGCCTTCTGTTCCCTTCCCCAGCTGCTCCGGAGAGAGGAGGAGACATATTTAAATGCCTCTTCCCTTCCCTCCCTGAGTGGTGCTTAGACAATGGCAGCAGTCATTAATTTCCCTAGTAGTTCTAGAAGTTCTTTGCTTCCTTGTTATGAGAGAAAAGGTCCAGATCTTCCTCAAGTCAGTTACTAAATTCAGCAGAGCAGATTTTGTGTAGTCAGGGAATCTTACAGGGCAGGTGGTTGTACAGATAGGTGCTGTCTCATAGGCCTGATTTTAATACCAGGCTTCTACATTTACTATCCCACATAGGAAGTGACTGCAAAGTATTTATATCAGGTAGACCATCGTCTAAATCCTCCTCTGAGCCACACTGGCAAAGGTCCCTGAGTCGTCCGCCCCGTTCCTACGGTAGAGAACCCAAGTTTTCGTCTACCTCTTTATCTAGACCCAAAACTGTTAAGAACACTAAACAGAGTCTTTGACTCGCACCTCCTCTCCCAACTCCCTACACACTTGTCTCCTTACCTGTTGATCTGGGAGTCTATTACGTCGGACCAGTGGGTCCTCTCAGTAATAAAAATGGGATACTTAATAGAGTTTTCCCAAATCCCTTCCACCTCCCACGTCGTTGTCACACCACCTTCCGCAGTCCTCCTGGTAGAGGTTCAAAGTCTCCTAAGCAAGGATGCTATAGAGCCGGTACCATCAGCACAGCACGTAATGGGCTTCTACTCCCGTTACTTTACGGTACCAAAACGGGATGGAGGCCTCCGACCCATTCTGGACTTCAGGAACCTGAACTCTTTCATCATATACAAGAAGTTCAGGATGACAACGCTACGGGCCGTCCTTCCGCTCCTCGATTCAGGGATGTGGATGGTTATGTTGGACCTCAAGGATGCTTACTTCCACGTTTCCATCCACCCTACCCACCGTCGTTTCCTTCGATTTGCGGTAGGCAACTGGCATTTTCAATTCAAAGCCCTTCCATTCGGATTATCCACGGTCCCTTGGGTTTTCACGAAGTTTATGGTGGCAGTGGTGGTACACTTCTGTCTAAGGGGCATGCAGATTTTTCCCTATATAGACGATTGGTTGTTGGTAGCAGATTCAGAAGCATCCCTGCTCACCAATGTAAACCTAACATTGACAGTCCTGACGTCCTTAGGCATCCAGGTAAATCTAAAAAAGTCAATGCTACTTCCCACCAAAAGGGTGCAGTTTATAGGAGCTATCCTAGACTCTATCGTTTGCAAGGCTTTTCTCCCTCCACAGAGAGCAAGGGACATTGTCAATCTAGTGACTCTATTCCACAAGTCTGGACATGCTACGGCAAAGCGAATCCAGCAGCTGCTGGGTCTGATGGCTGCCACCATCAACGTCATTGTTTTTGCCAGATTGCACATGAGACCTCTGCAGCTGTGGTTCGTACGCAGGTTTCGCCCACAGTCATCCTCAATCCCTTCGTCTTGTCTTCCCACCACCTGTTTTGGGCTCTTGGCTTTGGTGGACAGATCCTGTGAATCTCCTAGCAGGAGCCCCGTTCCATCCATCCACGTCTACACTCACGCTGACTACAGATGTGTCCCTCTGGGGATGGGGCGTGCATCTCAAGGGTCTTTGTGTGGGGGTTCATTGGGAGTCCCATGTAGCACACAATCATATAAATTTCCTGGAACTCCTGGCAGTGCTGTATGCACTCAGGTCTTTCTGACACCTGGTGACCGAGCAAGTGGTTACAGTTCTGACAGACAACACCACAGCCCTGTGTTATATCAACAGACGGGGAGGTACGATCTCCCGGGGGCTATGTCGCCTAGCCATAGAACTATGGGTCGAGTGTCAATCATGGAACACATTTCTATGGGCCGCTCATCTGCCAGGAACACTGAATGTCCAAGCAGACTTCTTGAACAGAGGAGGGGCAACGGAGCATGAGTGGGAGCTCAATTGGATTTATCTTCACCCAATCTTTCGCCTTTGGGGCCATCCGGAAGTGGATGTCTTTGCAACACCAGCAACAGAAAATGTCATCTGTTCTGCTCCAGAGCGGAGATAGATATTTCTGGGTGGTCACGTCTTCAAGTGTTCCTTTTTCCTCCGATTCCTCTAATACCCAGGGTACTGGTCAAGTTGATGCAGGAAAAACCACGCTGTCTCTTAGTGACACCGTGGTGGCCCCAACACCATTGGTTCTCCACTCTGCTCCACCTATCCAAGGGCTCCTTCATTCACCTTCCTCCAGCCGCAGATCTCCTTCTCACAGAGAAGGGTCGGATTCTGCATCGCGATGTGAAGCGTCTCAAGCGCACGATCTGGAGGATCCTTTTCGATTTGTCAGAGACAGGATAGATCACGTCCTATTGAACTGTTGCAGACTGTCAACCGAGTTTCTTACGCTGGGAAGTGGAAGAAATTCTTGTCTTACCTTATCTCGTTAGGATTAGAAATTCTTGTCTTACCTTACCTCGTTAGGATTGCCACCACCACCATCTGACCTGATGGCAATCTTTGGGTTCTTATTGTCTCGTGTAGACCTAGGGCTCAGTTGTACCTCGCTGAAGGTCTATTTAGCCGCAATTTCAGCCAATCACCCTATGATTGAGAGTCACTCCATCTTCTCTCACCCCCCAGACCAAGAAGTTTCTTAAAGGTCTGACCCACCTCTTTCCCCCGTCACGTGGACCCATGCCAGCGTGGGATCTACCCATGGTGCTTGCAAAGCTCATGGACAAACCATTTGAACCAATGACTACTTGTAGTCTACAGCTTTTGTCGTTGAAGACAGCCTTTTTAGTCGCGGTCACCTCCACCAGGAGGATGGGCAAGTTATCGGCACTCCGCTGTGACCCATCTTATTTGAGTTTTTGTCATAATGGGTTCACGTTGGCTCCAGATGTTTCTTTCCTGCCGAAAGTTGTTTCTGAGTTTCACCTGCAAGCAGACATTGTTCTTCCAGTGTTCTTTCCGTCTCCCTCAACGGAGGAAGAACGCTGTTTTCATTCGTTTGGATGTCAAAAGAGCTTTACTCTTTTACCTAAATCGAACACGGCCTTTTCGGAAATCTCCAGCCTTGTTAGTCTATTATGCTCTACACTCTCAAGGGAAGAAGCTCTTGTCCCAACATCTATCCAAGCAGATTGTGGAGACTATTAAGTTGTTCTATATGCTAGCCAAGGGCACACTCTACCCGGGCAGTGGCAGCATCCACAGCCTTCCTGCGAGGTGCGTCATTGGAAGATATCTGCAACGCAGGTACTTGCGCCACGTTTGTGAGGCATTATGCCCTTGATGTTCGTCTTCATCAGCGTTCAATTGTGGGACGAGCGGTGTTGCAGGCAGCGCAGATTTAGGACCTCGGCTCTCTCCTCCAGGTAGGTGGCCATTGCTTTTCAGTCTCCCAATGGTGTGATGCACAGAGACCACGAAGAAGATAAACAGGCTGGTTACCTGTAACTGAGGATCTTCGAGTGTTCATCTGTGCATTCACACCACCCGCCCTCCTTCCCCTCTGCTTTCGGTCCTTCCTTGCTTTCTTTGGAGACTGAGGGCAGTGGTCAGAAGGAACTGGCGGCATTGTCATGCCCCTCCCTTGGTCATGTGCAGTGGAGCCCGGCGCGTGACCAGGGAGCAGGCGCAAAAATTCCTTTTGCTTTCCATTGTACCGATCAGGGTCAGCGCAGGCGCACTATATCCCAGAGGTGTGAATGCACAGATGACCACTCGAAGATCCTCAGTTACAGGTAAGCAACCTGTTTTAATGTAGCGAACACAAATGTACTCTGTGGCAGTGTGACAGTGATGTGTGTGTTTGTGTATGTGCACACAAGAGGAAGGCTGAAGATACAATACATCATCCAATATTTGTTTTTATTTGCTATAATAGGAGAGAAATTGCTGACAATTGTATCACCATTTCTTGATTCTGTAGGTTTTTGTGGTGCTTTCTTACCAGTTGCATATGGAACCTGCTGTATTCTGGTGGTGTGCAGGTCCCAGGTTCATGTTTTAAAAGCAGACTAACACTGTTTGCCCAAAGCCAGAGCACTCTCCAAGAGCCTCTTTCTAGATCCCGTTGTATTTATTTCCACAACGGGCATTATTTCTAGTTTGCTATAATAGAAGAGAAATTGCTGACAATTGTATCACCATTTCTTGATTCTGTAGGTTTTTGTGGTGCTTTCTTACTCTTTACTAATTTAAATTTGATATTAACAAATTGGATTGGAGTTTCTCTGCAACATCTTCAATGTGTTTGTTACTCTGTTACAGAATGAAAGTGAATCCAGTGAAGGTGAGGAGAATGTGGACATTGAGACTGTGGAAGAACTTTCAGAGAAAATTAATATTGCTCGCTTAAAAGCTTCTGCTGCACATGCCCTATTGTCCAAGCAACTGTAAGCATATATGCATTTAGTAGCATGAGGATTTATATCATACTATGGTTTTGTTTGTTCAGAAAATGTATATCTGCCCCTCAAACAAGATGGTTTTTGGAGCAGTTATTTTTACCATTATTTTGGCAGTTTGGTAAAAGAAAATAGTGCAAAGCTCTAATTGTACAGAAGGTTATTTTGATGCATAGAGGTATTACAATAACTTGGGAATCAAGCTGAATGGCTTTCATGTAGATCTGAAGTTTGCTGGTTATTTTTCTAGTGTAGTAATTTCAAGAGCCTTATTTTGTTTATTTTAACACATTTTTACTACACATTTTCACTAAAAAGTTATTGAGGTAGCTTATATAACAGTAAAAATAAAACTGTTGGAAAAATCATAGCCTGGATTCTAGCCATTCACCTCATGTTAGAATACTGGGGGAACACAGAAGAATCTTTCTCAAGACGATGTTAACTATGTCTTGTTAGTGTTGGGGGTGCAGGGAGATGACAGTTTAATATGATCAGATTAGGTCGGATCAGTTGAGATCAGAAAGATCCCCTAATAAGTCATTTAAAATAACTCCAATTGTTGTAACCGTTGTATTAATAATAATGATTTATGTTTGAGTTAGTGAGATGATAGGTTTACTGCTGTGCTGTAAAGTAGGGGTCTAGCTCAGTGGTAGAGCATCTCCTTGGCCTGCAGAAGGTCCCAGGTTCAATTTCCAGCATCTCCAGTTAAAAGGATCAGGTCATAGGTGATGTGAAAGAGCTCTATTGGAGGCTCTGGAGAATTGCTGCCAATATTGCATCCCTCCTGTCTACCTCCCCCTGAAAGGGGCCCAAGGCAACTTGCACAACAAATATACTATAAGATGTGTATACACAATATAAAACTATAATATAAGACAGAACACCTACCTACAAGTAGTAAATATTACTGTCCAGGTACAAATAAAAACAGCCAGAATAACAGAACAAAGTTTGAATCCAGAGGCACCTTTAAGAGCAACAAAATTTAATTCCAGGTATAAGCTTTCGTATGCATGCACACTTCTTCAGATACATTGAAACACATTTTCTGAAGCCTTACATATAGGCAGTGTTCCCTCTAAGATGAGTTAGTGTGAGTTAGCTCACAGTTTTTTCGCCTCCGGCTCACAGATTTTTGTCTCAGCTCAGGGAGGATGGCTCCAGAGCAAACTAATTCATGCAGCAGCCAAATCGCTTGCTCACAACTTGTATTCCAGTAGCTCACAAAGCAGAATTTTTGCTCACAAGACTCCACAGCTTAGAGGGAACATTGCATATAGGTAGAAAGAGGGTGTGGGAAAGATTAGTTGCCCAGAAGGGCTAGCCAGAGTCAAGAATATTAGTCCATGATTAGATACTCTTGAAACAGATGGCAGAAAATCACACCTTGAAAGAGAGAGCTTTGACTTATTTGAGAGATGTGAGGCTTACAGAAAACTGAATTTGAGTGTTGAATGCATGGGTTAAAATCTTTTTTTCCCTTTCAGTGACTAGTGATTGGTGTTTGTAACATTTTAAATCTTCGTTTTTAATTGCATATTTTATTAACTCTTTGGTTGTCAGGGTAGAAATCCATATAATTAAGATAAAACTTAATTTTTTTTTCTCCAGGCATATTGTCCATGACCATTCAAACAAGGCAATGACAAAGACTCCTAAGGTAGATACTTCTTTATTCCCCCTTTTTTATGGTGATTGTTGCCAATCCAAAGACGTACTAATTTGTTGTTAGGTTTCTCTTAGTGGAGAAGTAGATGCCGTAATGGGCACCACCAAAAACCACTGGCTTTGTATTAAGATCTCCTTGTAATTTTAAGTGAGACAGGATGATACTGCTTCCTGGTAGCCAGTAATGTGGAACACAGATGGGCAGGTGTAGAGAACAAAAGTAAATCTGACTAAATGATCCTCTTTGTGGTCTCTGTTGGGATATAGTGTGCCTGCGCTATATCAGTAACATAGAAAGCTGAAAGGAATTTTTCGCGCCCTTACCCTGTGTCATGCACGGGACTCCACTGCACATGCCTACAGGGGAAGGGCATGATGATCCCACCATTTTTCTTCTGCCGCCACACTGTTTGGATCTCTCTCCTTGCTTTGGTCAGTAACTTTATCTGTTTCTCTACAAACCTTTTCTTGGACATTTCACTTTGGACTAAACAGCGACAACATTTTTTCATTAAGGTTGGTGACTTACTCAGCAGAGCAGGGCTCTGGCCCACTCCTCACCACCCCACTCCCTCCCCTAGCATGCGACAAAAACCAAATCCTCTCCTTCAGTACTGATGCTACTGGCACAGAGAGGCCCAGCACATCCTTCAGACCAGTCTGACTCCAGAGAGTCATCCAATGACAATGAGTCAGCTCACGTATCAAGAGATGAAGAATCGGATCACGACTTCAACACTTATCCATCACTGACACCTAAAGTAATGGACGACCTTCCTGTCTCTCCATCAGAAGACCTGAAGTTCTATGGTGACTTCATCAAACGTATGGCTCATGCACTAAACCTATCCACAGTGCAAACCGCCCCCTCATTATGGACACAGTTTTCAGTATAGTACAAATAGACTGTCATGGACCAGCCTCAGCCTGAGGTGCAGCCAGACTCTGACTTTCTGCCTGAGCCCAGCCTGGGTGAGGACCAGTCTGACTTGCAGCCTGACCAGTCGCATTGGCAACTGGAGCCTAGTGTGAGTAAGGACTCCTCAGAAGTCGAGCCTGGGTCCAGTGTGGCGAAAGATGACTTCAGAGTAGAGGACACTCAGGAATTCCAGTCAGATAATACTGAGCCGACTGAAGTCAGAGAGCAAGTTCCTCTGGAGGCACTCATGACTCCCCCAGATTCTCCCCCGCTCATAGAAAAAAGATCAGAAAGGAATTGCAAGAATGCAGAGTAAAAGATTAATGGCCCACCGACAGCTACAAGATGAGTCATTACAGGAGCCCTGCTAATTTGCCAGCTGCAGATAAGACTAATTAGGGGAAAACTACATAAAGCTGGGTGTGAGCTGTTGCCAACTTGTAGAAGCAACACGTCACCTCACAGTGAATCCTGAGACCACAACTCCTGACTGCTCTACTCCTGTGACTTTTGGACCGGCTTGACTCTGCTTTTGGACTCTCTCTGACTGTAACAACTGACCTTGGACTGTTTGGACTATGCTGTGAACATTCCTTTGACCTGCTCCTGCCTACGAGACCTGGACTTGGAGCCTGCGAGACCAGCTGGGCTACGACATGGACACATCAGCAGCTATTGCCCTACCAATGACGTCAGTCCTCCTCCAGGCTGCCCAAAACCCCTGGTCTTACCCAGCCTCTACTCCTATGTCACCTCGGAGAATAGACCATATGTACAAAATAGAAGAAGGGGGGGGGGTTCCTTTTCACGCACCACAAGCCTAAATCAGTTGTGGTCACATCCTCCTCTAAGGGCAGACGTACCCATTTATAACACCCAACGACCTCTCCCAAACCATTGGGGCGACTGAGCTGTGGGGTCACTGCCTGTATAGGCGTATATTTGTACTGGATTTAAAGTATTTTTACTTATGATGTGACTGATCAGTTCTCACTATACTGTATCTGACCAGGTCACTATAAACATTAGTCTCTTCGGGGGGTTTGGTATATAACTTATGGATGTATGGAGGACAACTGCCCAGTATAATTCTTTCACCAGTAAGTCAGGCACCAGTATTTGTAAAAGTTAAACTGTAAGCTTCTTTATTTCTCAGAAAGCCCAATGGGGGGATGGGATCTATTTACATAGGATATTTTGTTTCCTTGTAGAATATAACTTTTTACTTTGCCTTCACATAGACTGTAGGGTTATCACTCTCTGTTTTACACATGTGTTCTTCAGTACACTAAACACACTTATGATCCCATTCTCCAGTAACTGTTTTGTGGCTGCCCTTTGGACTTTATCTGTCTGGACCCTTTGAGTCTAACTGGGCACCTTTCCAGCTTTCCAGACTCCTCCAGACCCTTAGCCCTTTCTTTAGCCACCTCTACAAGTTCCTTTGGAGCAATGTATCTGGTGTTTGTGACCACTGAGGTCTTATACTGATCACTCTCTGTTCACTCTCCCGCTCTCTGCTAACTTCTCTTCCAACTCACTTTCCGAACTGTCAGCTCCCAACTGTCAGTTGTTGTTTATATATATATAGATCGCTCAATCCATGCAGAGCTGCCGGCTCTGAGCGATTTACAGTTACTCCTGAATTTCACATGGGACTAACAATGCTGGGGGTAAGGGAGGACAACATATATCATTAAATCACACACATTTTGTAGTCAACGGAGTTTGGTCGGCTGTAAGGTCCAGACGTGTTCCCGGCAGCATTCCTTTTTTCAGCGTCGCTTGATGTCATCAGCATTGTCTCAGTCGCAGCGCATCACTGCCACCGTCTGGCCGTATGGCCTATTGCAGGCTTTTCTTCGACGCTGCGTAGATCTTTCTCGGCTTTCGGATCTTACGCGCAGACCCTCCGATCGGCTAACACAACCCCCACCGGGGGGGGGGTTAGTGTGCCCACTCTCTCTAAGGAGTGGTACCCATTTTATCTACTCACCAAAGCTTTCAAACCGCTGGGTGGACGGCGAGCTAGGGACACGGACTGGCAGCTCACACCAGTGCGGGGCTTGAATTGACAGCAAGTCCTGTTCAGCTCAGCTGTTTAACCCGAGGATAAATCCCCTGTGCCACCGCTCACCGTTATCTGTCACTCACTGAGAATTCCGAGCCAAAAGGCCCCCTCCCTTCTCAGTCATGTGACTCAGCAGCGTCTTTATGTACCTGCTGCTGTCCACTATCCTTGAATTCCATCACACCATTCTACACCTCCTGACAAAGAAGGGAAGAAACTGGACTTTATGCGTCACAAGTTCTACTCTGCAGGAGCTTTAGGCATCAAAACCTCCAATTATGCAGCCTGTATGGGCAGATATCAATATACGCTCTGGGAGCAACTTTCTGAATTCCTCCCATCCTTACCTGAAGATATCATCCACTGGGCTAGAAGCATACAGAAAGAGGGAATGCTGCTGGCAAAGCAACAGCTAAATTCAGCTAAGCACACATTAGAAATATCAGCCAGGACCCTCACCTCAGCTATTACACTCCACTGCCATTCTTGTTTGCACTCTACTGCCCTCCACAATACACAAGGTCATACGTGGAGGACCTTCCCTTTGAAGGAGGAGGATTATTCAGCTCCACTATGGATGCTGTCCTTCAGGAACTTGATAAAAACATCAAGACCTTCCACAACTTGGAGGTATCCCCCTCAACCAGACCTTCAAAACCCAGATCATGAAACAAACCTTGGTTCAGATGACCTTTCAACAAACCATCTCCTGAACAACTGTGGCAACAGAGGTCACCTCACACTACATCTTGATCTTCCTATGGGGCTAAATTCTCCTCTACTGCACAGCCCAGGACCAAACCTACCAAGGGTCCAAAACAGGGCCTTTGATTCAACACTCCCTCTCTCCGAACCCACATGTCTCCACCCGTATCTGCCTGCTGGGAGACTGATAACTTCGGACAAGTGGGTGTTTTCCATAATCTCAGAGGGGTACAAAATAGAGTTCCTTCAAACACCAATGACCTCTATCTTTGTTCCTACCCCCCTATTGGCTATCCTACAGGAAGAGGTACAAACCCTATTCGACAAACAAGATATAGAACAGGTACCTTCCATCAACCAACCACATGGCTTCTACTTCCGTTATTTACGGTCCCAAAGAAAGGTGGAGGCCTCTGTCCTATTATGGACCTCAGGGCACTAAACAAGTTCATTGCCTACAAAAATCTTTGGATGACATTCCCAAACATCCTTCCCCTCCTATAGGAAGGGGCCTGAATGGCAACACTTGATCTGCAGGATGTTTATTTTTTCCTGACCATACAGGACAATCACAGGCAATTCCTCCGGTTTGCCATAAAGGAACAGCATTAACAATACAAGGCTCTTCCCTTCAGCATCTCAACAGTTCCACATGTGTTCACGAAGACCTCCAACTGGTCTTCGATATGTGGGGTCACCCAACAATAGATGTCCTTGTAACCAGACAAAATGCAAAGTGTCCCAGGTTTTGCTCCAGAGTGGGTTCAGACCCACTCTCCCTTGGGGATGGATTACTCTTCCCTTGGTTCCACCAGCATCTCTTCCTCTTCCCTCCCTCTGATCACCAGGGTGGTGAACAAAATCATGAGGGAGACTCTGAGCTGCATTCTAATAATATCATGTTGGCCTTGCCAACACTGGTTCTCAACTCTCTCCACCTCTCCAAGAGATCCTTCCACCACTTCCTAATAGTAATGGATCTCCTATCACATGGAGGCTTGGTATTGTACCACAGTGTCCCACACCTGTAGCTAATGGCATGGAGGATCCTTTGACGGATCTGCCGCAAAGGTTAGATCACATCATGCTGAACTGTAGAAGACCATCAACCTGCAAATCCTATGGGTGCAAATGGGAAAAGTTTCTACACTGCCTTGTCTCCACCAAGCTGCCCCCACCCCCTTCAAATCCCTTGGCTATCTTTGGTTTTCTGCTCTCCCTAGTAGATTTAGGCCTCAGCCACTCTTCACTTTGCATGTACCTGGCAGCGATTTCCACCCATGGACATTTGGTGTTTATGCACCCCCTCTCAAAGAAATTCCTCAAGGGGCTACTTTGTCTCTTCCCAACGGTGCATCATCCCACCTCAGCTTGGGATCTCCTGCTAGTCCTGAACAGACTCTCTGGCAGGCCATTTGAACCCATGGCCACCTGCAGTCTACAGCTTTTATCCTGAAAGACTGCCTTTCTAGTCGCCTTCACCTCCGCTAGAAGAGTGGGTGAACTTATTTGTGTTGCAATCCTCCTTACCTGACATACCATCAAGATGGTGTCTCTTTGGCTCCAGACATCACTTTCCTTCCCAAGGTAGTCTTGGAGTTTCATCACCAGGGTGGACATTGCTTTCTTGGTGTTCTTTTCTCTCCCTTGGAACAATTTGGAATGCCATCTTCACTCTCTTGATGTTAAGAGAACACTACATTTCTATCTGCGTAGAACTCGGGACTTCCGTAAGACTTCCCTATTTGTGTCTTATGTTCCTCACAAAGTTTATCCAGATGGATAGTAGAAACAATCAAGCTCTGCTATATGCTTGCCAAGAGGCTGCTTCCTGGACCTGTGCATGCTTACTCCATGTGAGGCTCTGGCCACTTCGACTGCTTTCCTTAAGGGCACATCTCTGTGTGATATCTGCAATGTAGCCACGTGGGCTGTGCCCCACACCTTCATGAAGCTCTGTGCCCTCGACGTTTGCCTTCATCAACAAACCTTGGTGGGATGTTCTGTGTTGCAGTCCATGTGTGCCAGAGTCCCTTCCAGCACCCTCCTCCAAGTAGGCCTGAGCATGTTATTCTCCCAATGGTGTGATGCACAGAAGATAGACAGGTTGCTTACCTGTAACTGGTGATCTTCAAGTGGTCATCTGTGCATTCACACCACCTGCTCTCCTTCCCCTCAGCTGGTGATCCTCTTCATTTCTTGAGGCTTCCTGCAGCGGTCAGAAGGAACTGGCAGGATCCTCATGTCCTTCCCTGTAGGCATGTGCAGTGGAGCCCCCTGCACATGACATGGGGTAAGGGTGTGAAAAATCCCTTTCAGCTTTCTATGTTACCAATCGGGATCAGCACAGGCGCACTATATCTCAATGGTGTGAATGCCCAGGTGACCACTCGAAGATCACCAGTTACAGGTAAGCAATGTTTCTTTACAATGAAATGGAAGATAACTCAGCGCAGGACATCCAATCAGTGGTAGCACAACACAAGATGACAAGAGGGATAATAACACCACTGGGAAGGAGCTGGAAGGCTCTATGAATTTGGCTATTGCATATAATCAGGGTTGCAGTCTTAACATGCCAATGAAATGGCACCCTTCTGTTTGGCTTATTACACTAGACACAAAACCTCACTGAACCCATGTGAATTTTATCAGTATTAGACAGCTACTATTTTTATTATTAACATTTTTACCCCGCCCTCCCCACGAGCGGGCTCAGAGCAGCTTACAAGAGGACACAAGCCCATACATAAAAACAGGATAAAACAGTAAAACCATTAAATAACAACAAAACAAGAATAAAGTGCTCCATACAAACAAGATGGTCTCCGAAGATGGTATCAGTCCTTTCATTTGGGTGATATTGTCCTGTCGATGGTCTAAGGCCAGTCCAGCGGTATCAGTGCCATACAAGATCGTGGCGGATCTTCCAGGGACCTCCCCAAACCCCGTAGTTATCTCCACCATTGATAGTAGTGGTAATGATAGTGGCAGCCCCTATATAAAAGCCTGGTGGAAGAGCTCCAGCTTGCAGGCCCTGCGGAACTGCATAAGGTCCCGCAGGGCCCTGATCTTCTCCGGGAGCTCATTCCACCAGGTGGGGGCCGCCACTGAGAAGGATCTGGCCCTAGTTGCAGCAAGCTTTGCCTCCCAGGGGCCTGGAATCACCAGGCGGTGTTGTGTCCCCGACTGAAGTGCTCTTGGGGGTATATGTGGGGAAAGGCGGTCCCTCAGGTAGGTTGGACCCTGGCCATGTAGGGCTTTAAAGGTAAGAACCAGCACTTTGAAGTGGATTCGGTACGCTATTGGCAGCCAGTGCAGCACTTTCAGCCCAGGCTGGATGTGCTCCCACTTGGGGACACCCATCAACAGCCTGGCCGCTGCTTTCTGCACTAGCTGCAGCTTCCGGATCTGCAACAAAGGCAGCCCCATGTAGAGAGCATTACAGTAATCCAGCCTTGAGGTGACTGTTGCGTCTATCAGTGTAGCCAGGTCACCATGGTCGAGGAAGGGAACCAACTGCCGAACCTGCCTAAGATGGTAAAATGCAGATCTGACAGTGGCTGCCACCTGGGCTTCCATTGTTAAGGAGGGATCCAGGAGCACTCCAAAACTCCTAACCTCTGACGCTGGCACCAACGGCACCCCATCGAAGGTCGGGAGAGGGATCCCCAACCCCGAACCATGCTGACTCAGGCACAGGACCTTTGTCTTCGCTGGGTTTAGTTTCAGCCGGCTCAGCCTGAGCCACCCAGCCACGGCCTGTAATCCCCGGTTCAGATCTTCTGGGTCGGAGCCCAACCGGCCACCCAACATCAGATAAAGCTTGGTGTCATCTGCATATTGATGACAACCCAGCCCATACCTCCTGGCAATCTGGGCGAGGGGGCGCATGTAGAAGTTAAACAACATCGGGGAAAGCACCCGCCCCCTGAGGCACACCACACTCAAGTGGATGCCTCCAGGACTGCTGTTCCCCTATCGCCACCCTCTGTCCCCGACTTTGGAGAAAAGAGGCAAGCCATTGAAGAGCGAGTCCCTGTATCTCCATGTCGGCGAGACGGTGGGTCAGCAACTGGTGGTCGACCATGTCAAATGCAGCCGACAGATCTACCAACAGCAGTGCCGCCACACCGCCTCAATCCAGATGCCTCCAGAGGTCGTCAGTAAGGGCAGCCAGCGCCATCTCCGTCCCATAGCCCAGGCGAAAGCTAGACTGGAGTGGATCAAGGATAGAAGCGTCATCCAGAAAGCTCTGAAGCTGTGTCGCCACTGCCCTCTCAATCAATTTGCCCAAATACTATTGCACGTTTTGGATATGATTTGTGGAACATTTGTTTTAAAAGGTTGGCTACCATTGCTCTAAGGACATTGTACATTTTATGATCTAAATTTGGTTGTAGCCCTCATTATCTCAACTAAGAGGAAGAGAAGAGATTGGATTTATACCCCGCCCTTCACTCGGAGTCTCAGAGCGGCTTACAAATTCCTTTCCCTTCCCCTCCTCACAACAGACACCCTGTCAGCCTGGTTCCTTTATTTTCTAGTTCTGCACCTCTGAAGTTGGACAGCTCTTTAATCACCACCTAAATATTTGTTCAGTTTTATTGTGAACTCTGGAGCTATGACTGTACCCAGTTTTATAGAATAATTTAACGTCTGATCTGATTATACAGATTCCTGTGTGTGCTGTATGCTTTATTTTAAACTATTGACTAAAGGTTTTTTTTATTGATAGCAACCAGAGCTCTCAAGCAAAAAGCTGAAAAATGAAGAAGAAGCCTTTGCTAACTATCGCCAAACACACACAGCAAATGAGCGTCGGCGTCGAAAGGAAATGAGGGGACTCTTTGAAAAACTGGAGACAACTTTGGGATTGCACATGGTCCCCAAAGTTTCCAAGTGCTTCATCCTCAAACAAGTAAGTATTTTATACCATAGTAGCACTTAACAGGAGATTGAAGCAGTAGAAAAGAGCAAAAGTCCAGTAGCACCTTAAAGACTAATAAAATTTGTGGCAGGGTATAAGCTTTTGTGAGTCACTGCTCACTTCTTCAGATACAGTTAGAATGGACATCCAGTGATTTCAGATGCCAAATGATGTTAGCAGGCAAATGACAATAGCAGGTGTGATTGGATTAGGCGTAATATGCAGAGAGGTAGTAGGCGTGGGAAAATCAGGATTGGTAATGAGACAGGAAACCTAGGTCATGATTCAGTCCAGGTGGATGCATTGTCTTGAGCTTTGTTATCAGTTGCAATTCAGTAACTCTTTCTAATCTCCCTTTGAAATTCCTTTGTAAAATAACTGCTACTCTTAGGTCAGCAACAGGATGTCCTGGAAGGTTAAAATGTTCTGGTTTTTATATGGTTTTTGAACGGCAGATGTTGTTTTAGAAGCATTCCCTCATTATCTGATAGAGAAGGGGGAATACTTCCTCTAAAATGGTAGTTTGCAACAGTGATTTTCATTAATTACTTGTAGTAAAAATAATTTTCAAGAAGTCTGCTGTATAAGAATTCTTAATTGATCTGACCAATAAAGTGATTAGCAGGGCAAAGTTAAGCAAATTATTATTATTTTTTTTTGTGGGGGGGAGGTTTTGCTGCCAGGTCACAACCAAGTTAAGGTGACCCTGTAAGGTTTTTCAAGGCAAGAGATGTTCAGAAATGGCTTGCCATTGTCTGCCTCTGTGTAGTGACCCTGGTATTCTTTGGTGGTCTCCCATCCAAATCCTGACCGAGGCTGATCCCGTTTAGCTTCCAGGATTTGACAAGATCAGGCAAGCCTGGACTACCCAGGTCAGGGCTCAGCAGAGTTACATCTTTCTAAGCCCATTGACTTCAAAGGACTTAAAAGGTATAACTTTGGATAGGATTGTACTGTAAATGTTAAACTCTAGTGTACTACATTTTGTAAATTAAAGTAGAGATGTACATAACAAAACTTGTGAAGAGCACTTGAGGTACTTAACCTGTTCCTTCCTCAAGTAGAAATTGGAAACTGAGAAAGTGCACCTGATCTAGTCTAGTCCTGTGGCAATACCAGTAAAACAACTGCAGGTTCATTTGTATATTCAGTGTTTTTCAGGGATTGGTTGTTTTTATTCTGGCAGCAGATTGATGCCCTAAAATACTCTAGAGGCCTATTTTCTGAAGAGCATTTCAGAAGAAGTTGTCTTTTATGTATCTTTTGCTGGAATCTAAAAGTGGCTCATTGGTTCTTTCAGGCTTTTGAAGAGATTCAGGGCCTTACAGATCAGGCGGATAAACTGACAGGGCAAAAGAACTTGTTGATTCGGAAGCAGGAAACCCTGATTCGTAAAGTGTCTTCACTCTCAGGTGAGATGGCATTCAGAGGACGGAGCAGTAAAACTGACAGCCCACAGAGCAAAAAAACACTAGCTTGTTTCCCAGCATTTGTGAATGTAGTAGAAGAAGAAGAAGAAGAAGAGATTGGATTTATTCCCTGCCCTTCACTACCCAAAGAAGTCTCAGAGTGGCTTACAATCCCTTTCCCTCCCCCCCCCCACAGCAGACACCCTGTGAGGTAGGTGGGGGTGAGTGAGCTCTCTAGAAAACTGCCCTTGAGAGAACAGCTCTGAGAGAGCCATGACTGACCCAAGGTCACACCAGCAGCTGCATGTGGAGGAGTGGGGAATCAAACTCGGTTCTCCCAGATTAGTGTCCGCACTTTTAGCAACTGCATCAAACTGTACAAAATGGGGTTTATGTAGAAATGTGGGGGGCTAATAAGAGGCTGAACCTTTTTGGATGCAGTTGAACTTGGACATTTAAGGAGGTGGGGAGAGGCTATGATTTTGTGCTATGAAATAATGCATTTTGGTGAACCTATAAACTGTTTTGGTTCCTCAAGGCTGCAGAAGCGTGCAAATTAAGAGGGGAAGTCATACTGTTATTTTTTTCCTGTAGGCAAAGCACAGGAGGTGGTCTTGAAGAAACTAGAATATATTTATGCCAAACAGAAAGCTGTAGAAGCACAAAAGAAGCAGCAACAGGAAGCAGAACCTGCAAAGACTGCTAAACCTGCAGAGATGGCTCAGTCTTCTGCAGAATCCAATCCCTCGTCTCTTTTTAGAGAGATGAAACAAGACACTGTGTCCAGCAAGCGTACAAAACCATTGATACTTGCTAGGAAAAAAAGTAATGCCCCAGGTAGGTTGAAGTAAGAGGACAGTAGTTGGTCATGGCACAAAGGGAAAACCAAGGATACTGGTTATTCTTGGAAACATTGTATCTATATGATTTTTTTATTTATTTGCATTATTTATAGTCCACCTCAAGGTGGATTGCACAGAGTACAACAGTACAATCAGCAGAATGGGACATCCAGTAAACAATGTAATAGGATTTGGATTGTAGAAATCTGGAGCCAACCATAAATCTGTAAACAGAACTGAAGCAAATGACATGTTAAATGATGCAGAAATTACATAGTAGGATCCTACTTACAGCAACGGGCAGAATGGACTATACACAGTAGTATAGATCACAATTCCTAACCCCTTTACTAAAGGCCCTGCTGAAGGCCCTGCTCAGATGAGCGAAGGTGTCATTGTAAAGCATAGAGGGAGAAGCGGTCTTGCAGATATGAGGGACCAATGCCATGAAGGGCTTTGTATATGATAGCTAATATCTTAAATTAAGCCCGCTAACTGATAGGCTGCTAATGGAGTGACTACAAAATGGAAGTAATAGAGCCATGGCGTTCTGTACCAATTGGAGTCTCCAGATTCATTTTGGAGCGGAAACCAACGTAAAACACATTACAGTAGTCTAATCTCATTGTTACTGTGGCGTGGATCCAGGTGGCCAGATTGTCTGTATAAAGGGTAAGAATGCTTTTTTTGCAGCTGCATTAACTTGCTTCTCCAGCAGCAGGGATGGATCCAGTATAATCCCAAGGCTCTTAACTGAGTCTGCAGGACTCAGCTGAACTTCATCAAAAGTGGGGAGCACAATGTCCTTCAAGATCTCTGCCATCTCAGCCTGAATTATCTGTCTTTCCAGGGTTTAATTTCAATTTGTTCACTTTTAGCCATTTAACCACAGCAGCTAGGTAGTAATTCAGCACCTCTACTTTGTCACAAGGGGATTTGGATAAAGATATATAGAGTTGGATATCATCAGCATATTGATGACAGCTGACTCCAAAATTATGAATGGTTTGTTTTAAGGGCTTTACATCAGCCCCGTAGCTAAGGAGTTTTTGGGGAGGGGGCCTGGGGGGCCACCAGCCAATCAAATCAAAGTTAATTAAATTAATGTTGATTTAATTGGTGGGACTAAGGCAGCCCCAGTTGCGACCGAGGGGGAAGGAGAGCGCCGCCGCCAACAGCAGGGACAGCCCTCGCACCACGGATGAGCCCTCAGGACTTGCGGGCACGCCTGGGCACTCTCTCCGCCTCCCTCAGCGACTGGCCACAAGCGAGCACACTCCCGAGCTTCCCCGCCTCCCTCTCTTCCTCCCTCTCGGGGTGGACATGGACAGACAAGGAGGCGGCTCCCCAGACGGTCGCCTCGCCCCCGCCCCGCTGGGTCCACTGTTGCTGACTCCACCTGCACTTTTACCTCCCCATTGAGAAAATGTGGAGGGAATGTTAGATGCAAAATCACCCTAGCATTGCTCCTCCTGCTACAGCCAGCGCAGGGCTCGCCAGCTGGCTGGCTGCTCCTCCGGCGCGCCTACAGGCTCCCCAGCTGCTCACCTCCTGCCTACCCGCTGTCCCCAGGTGCCCCAGGCTGCTGACCTGTGCCCAGGCTGGCTCCTTCCATTGCAAGCGAGTGACAGCGGAGAGGGGAGGGAAGAGAAGGGGGAGCAAGCTGGTCTCCTCCGGACCTGGGCAAGCAGGTGGGTGCAGCGGCTTCAGTGGCTGCCCCAGTCAATCTTTGAGCGGGGGCACTTGGAAGCCCCGGCTACATGGCACGCGTGGCAGCTGCAGGGCTCAGCCGGGGCCCCTCCTTGAAAAACTAAACACTTCATTGCTTGAAGAATCCGAGCATAGGAAAACATCACACAAGGTTCTACTGTAGCCTCACTCACGTGATATTTTTATGTTATGCCATGTCATCTTAATACTTCCCCTAGGATTTTCCATTTGGTGCCCTTCATTATGCTGTTAGACTCGTTTCATGAGAAAACAGTTTACCATTCTTGCATAGCAAGAGGTTGATCAGTGTGGTTATTGATGGTGAGATACAGTGCTACTACTGCTCTTCTCCATGCAAACTTCAACACTCATCTGTCTTGTCTTTTTTTAGGGGAGACATCTCCTCCTGTGACGCTAACAAATGCTAGCTTAGTAATGACTGCACAAGGTCAGGTCCTTACATTCAAGAGTCCCCTGATGCCAGGACAGATTGCTGCCTTGCCTTCCACACACTTGAAAGCTGAACTCAGATCAGAAGTTGACAGTAGCAGTGGGACAATGCAGCCAGGTGAGGCCACTTTGGATTTGGATTTGAGCCTGTTCATAAAATCAAAGTTTTGCTTCTCAATTAATCTATTTCATTTTTCCTTATATTGTCTCCTCTGACTTTCAAACAGTATATTTATGAAAAATATTTGATTATAAATAAAAATCTTAAACATGTTTTAAAATCTAGTCCTTAGACATGTAGGTAGTTGGTCTTTTTTGACTAACCCCCCCCCAATAGGTTAGAATACAAAATATTTGCGCTAGTAAGTATGGCAAATGTATTTGTTACAAGTATAAAAACAAGATGAATGTTTCATCTGTTGCCCTGTGATAAAATTTATTTATAGAGCTGTTCTGCTTAATTTTCTTTTCCTTGATACCATATCTAATATTACATTCACTGTTTCTGTGGATAAGGTATTGCTTCTGTGATGATTCAGTTGCCAGGATCAACAGTACCAGTGCAAGTGAAAGGCATGCTCCCTAACTCTGCAGTTCCTATTACTTTATCTGCTGTGGCCAGTAGCCCTGCATCTCCGGTTGTAGAAACAGATCCAGAACTCACTCTAGGTAAGCTTAAATTGCATACAATAAGAAGACTGGAAATAACTTTCTCAGTTTGCTTACTGTCCAGTATATAGTAACTGTTGCCCTTTCACTGCAGTGTTTTGTTGCCCGGTGCAGTGTACCACGTGACTGTTGTCAGCTCTTAATGCTTGAATTGCCTTGCAATTCATTCACTTATTTGTTTTTTTTAATTGAAAATATTTATATCCTTCAGTCTCATATTAGAAAGACCTTAAGGTGGTTACTTGTTTAGCAACCACATTGTTAGAGTAGTTCACAGTATTATGTGATGGTGAATAATGGCTTTTATTTGCATAACAACATTAAAAGGAGAACAATTTCCAGCTGCTCTTTCCAGTGGGTTCTAATAGATTTTGCTTTATTTTGGCTTGCAGAAAATGAAGACTCATTCTTGATGCCGAGGATAGTAAATGTGACATCACTAGCGACTGAAGAAGATAAAAAATTAAATCTGGATGTAAATGAGAATCCACATATAACCACAGATACAACCGGTTCCCAGGCATCTGAGCCTTCCTTGCCAGTAGCATCTCAGGAAACAATAAATATTCAGTGTGTAGAAAAGGCTGAAGCTTCTTGTGGAAACGAGGGAGAGACTACTGAAACAACAGAACCCCTCCTTAGGAAAAAAGAAATTGTTTTCCCACAAATAGTGAATGTCTCCAGTTTAAAAGAATCACCAGAATCCTTTGCAACAAAACTTTGCACCAAACAGTTAGCTCAAAGCCAGGCAAAAGAAAAACAGACTGACAAGGGAGGAGGCAGACAGCAGTCAAAGGATTCTTTATTCCAAGAGCTGCAGGTTAAAGAAGCCAAAGCCCTTGGGATAGAAGTGGAATTACAAAAAGTAGCCTCTGCAATACAGGAAGCAGCACCAGACTCCAGTGACTTAATGGACTTGGAGGACAATGATGACCCAGATGAAACACTCACTTCACTTCTGAATGAAATTGCATTTCTTAACCAACAGCTGAATGATGATGCTTCAGACCTATCAGAACTCCCCAACTCTCTGAGTTCTTGCTTTTCTCCAGGAGAAATGGAGAATCATAGGGAATCAGCTACTGCAGATGGATCCCCCTTTCAGTTTGGCCCGTTGGGTGGGAGCTTCAAGGACTTCTCTGTAGTTCGGGAGAGTAGCAATTCTATAACTCCTCTCCTCCTTCACTTAGATGATGATGAATTACCTAATGGTAACAGAAACTCAAGAGAGCTTTCATCTGAATCGGGTGCTTTGAAGATCATGTTAAACTCTGAAGCAAAACACCTAGATCCTAGCCTCTCAGCAGTACGTACTGGTGAAAGTGGAAAGCATATGGAACCTTTGCCAGCAAAGACCACACATGTGTCACCTCCAATTCTACAGATGAAAACCAACCTAGAAGCTGGCAATACTGATGCATCATGGAGACCCATGCCCAAATTGGCACCACTTGGGTTAAAAGCTGCAAACTTATCATTGGAGTCAGAAGGGCAGAATACCAAGGTGATGCCTGTATTGGCACCTGTTGCTCCAAAAACTTCATCTGTGGAGATAAAAACTGCACAGCCAGTGACTAGTCCAAGTAAGGACAATAAAACAATGCCCATACTAGCACCTGTGGTTACAAAATCAAATGAGTAATGCAACTTTACATTCAAAGAGTGTTCACAATTTGTTTACTTCTCAGAAACTTTCAAAGATAATTTGGGCATATAATATGCTTCTGATATCTGGCTTCCTAAGTTAGATCACTTAAATGTGTATGTAGTTTGTCAGGCTAGGTGTTTCAAACTTGGGAACCCAGATAATAAATTAGGAGTACAAGCCCTGCCAAATAAGTAAAATATGAAGCTGCCCAATTTTCTGGGTATTTTTTTAGAACTTTGTGAAATAGGGTGATGATTTAATGAAGAATATTAGATATTTTTAATCCACATTTTTCTAGTTAAACCATGTAGAGCTGCCCCCCCTCCCATCCCTAAACTGAACTATTTTCTTGTCAATTTCAGGGTTATTCTTAAAAGGCATGAAAGAAGACACAAGGTGTAGTTTTCAAGCAGTTACAGGGAAAGTCTTTTAAACACCTCTAAAATGCTTAGGGTTTGTTTAAAAAAAACACTTCAGGGCTGTATATGGATTGTATACAATTATTTTATCATGATGAATTGAGAAGTCATATTAGGAGAAGCAAACATTCATAAGGAAACTGAACGCAGTTGAACCACACATTTCCCCCCTCCTCTTAACTGAATAATTGGAAACTCTTCACTTTTAAGCCAGTGACTGTGAAGGGATTTCATGTTGTAAAATGATTTATATTTTTGTATACAGCTTGTTTTTGTATATATGTATGTAAAATAATGAATTTTTCTATCTAGGAACATTGTAGATGGTGGTTTCCTATGATTACTGTAAACTACAGTTTTTGAAAACTTGTAAAGCATCTGGGTGCTCCAAGTAAATCACTGTTGTGGAAATTTTATGAAATCTTAAAGTTGCCGCATTTTTTCTTAAGGAATGCAAATCACTGTTCTTGCTTATCCAAGCAGCAAGTGTGAGTTTTCCCATTCACTGCTCTGGTTTGCTCATGTAGAAGGGTTCATCCCCCATCACTGGAGTTGATCTAGCTTGTGAGAAGCAGTCTTCTGCATGAGTGTGGAAAGTAGATCAGTTGTAGTTGCTTGTTTTAGTGAAGCATCATGCAGTATCCATTAAGCTCCTGCTTCTTTCTACTCATATGTAGGTTGCTGTATACAGTGGATAGACACACTTTAAACTTCCTTTGTAGTTTTCCAATGTGAAGGAACAATTTAAAGAGAATTTGTCATCACCTGAAAAACTGTTTTGAAATAGTAGGATAAAGAAAATTGTTTGGTAGCTTCTGTGGTCTTCCACTGTTGGATACACTTTTGTCCTGTATTTAATCTCTTTTTTTCATACACTCTCCTATGCTTGATGGTAATCATGCAGTGCCTTAGGATTTAGAAAGAAACCAAGGATCTACATGCTTGGTTAAAATCTAATCCAGTGCATCTATTTCAGTGATCAAATTCAGACACAGGAGCATCAGCTGCAGTTACTTTTTAAATATATAAGACAAATGATACTGTGTATGCTGCAGATGGTTTGGTTTGCTAATTTTCTTCTATGTGCAGTGGCACCAATACTATACTAGAAGCTTCACAATGATGCCACACTGCAATAGGTTTGCTCTTTTTCTGCATCTGCCCTCCTTGGTTATTTTACTTGCTTCATTCTGTTTGTCTTCAAAAACTACATAGTCACCACCTAGATGACGATTCCATCTGAGAAAGACATCTTACCTTTCGAGAAAGCTCTTGGCTGATTTAACATTGGACAGTGAAGAATTAGAGGAAATTTTCTGTTTAAGTAATCAAGTCTAGTTTGCAAGGCTCTTCAAAATACTGAACCCTTCCTTCTAATTACTGTATTCTATGGTCAGGTTTCATCCTGCATTTGAATGTTCACTCCCTGAGTTTTTAACAAATGAATAAAAGTGCATCCCAAGATGCACAGTCACAATGTTCTGTATTTCGGAAATTATGTATATTCACAAATAAGACACTGTTAACTTCAGAAATGGCAATTTGTAATCAAGAGATCAATTGAACCCCTTACAAAGAGCACATTTTCATTTAATCAAGATTCCTGGATTTTTAATGTATCTGTAAATAGGATGAAATGTTTTTAAGAATATAATGAAATGTCAGTTTTGATTTTACTATATATTCTTTCCCTCATTTTCTGTATCTTCTGAAAAGCTAATATTTTTATAGACATCTAACCGCAAAGTCTATTTCAGTAATATGGGATGGAGAACCTGTATAATGACAATAAATTGTCTTCAACTAGAAGATGACTCTGAAACGTTATTTCTGTGTGAGAGAAAGTCATGTGGAACAAACCAACTTTAATACTCCCAAGTAGAATCTCACCCTTTCTGTGTATATTCCATCCTCTATATAACTGGAGTGAGAAAATATTACGCCAAGATTGGGCAGAAGGAATAACAAGTCCTGAAGAACTTGGGCAGGCTATGATTGACAGTCCCCATTTTGACTGGATCTTTTTTCTAATACCAACTATTTTGTTTGATTTGGACTATATATGCCATTTCTTATTTATCAAGAACTCAGGTGTTTTATATAGAAAAGATGGCTGAAAACAATACTTACCTATAAATGTTATAAGAGCAATTATTGGAGGTTCATAAAGTATTGCTAAGTAGAAGTGCCTTATTTTGCATTTAAGTGACTTCATTATAAGATCTCTCCACTTACCATACTGCTTGAAAGGTGTGCACACTGGTGTCAAGAGTTTGGATCCAGTAGATACATCCTCAGAGGCTGCCAGAGCAAACCTTTCCCGTGCAGCCCATTGTTTGTGTCAAAAATCTTTTAATGGTCTGGAAAGGCTTGCCAAACATATACCACAGTACGGAATGCTGCAGTAACAAAAGGGGATTGGGTAGAATTGCCTCTTTGTCCCACTTCTGCTGGTGGCTTGTGTCAGTAGAGCCAGGGGTGTGCAATTTTTTTCAACTGGTATTTTTTTTTGGGGGGGGGGTCTATTGGACCCCAATGGTATTTCCAAAAAATCCCAGATCCCAATACTGATGTGGTATTCAGATCTGGGATTTTTTGGAAAACCCGAATTTGTTCAGGTCCAATTAAATTGAGAAGAAAAATACTGGTTAACATGGCTTCTCCAGGGCAGTTTAAACAGGCCTGTATAGGAACAAAGCACAAAAAACCACTGGCTGAAGCTATATATATAAAAATATTGAATGACCTTCAGTAATATAACTATATAAGGCCAAGGTGTTTTTGCAAGAAACAACAAATATACAGAAAGAAGAATAAAGTCCCAAAAATGTCAATGTGTCTCACTCCAGTTGTATTGTGATATCATTGTTATGCCGATAAAGGTTTTCTGTTCTGTCTGTCTGATATCATAGTCCAGCTTGACGTGCATTCATCATAGAGTGGATTTATATAGTTCCTGGATAATCCAAACATTCTAGAATTCCATAAGCCATAGAGACGCGTTGTCCGAATGCAAGCTGCCGTGTTTCGAATAATTATTTTTCAAAACCAATAGGCTATAGTGGGACCCAATCTCAGTAGAGGCACATACAAAAGCCAGTATATTCAATCAGAAAGGACCCATGTCTTTGTAACAATATGCTTTAAGCTCTAAGATGCCTCTGAATCTAGTATCTGTTGCAGTTTATAGATTCAGAGGCATTTTAGAGCTTAAAGCATATTGTTACAAAGATCTGCCCAATAAGAAGTGTCTAAATTTAGGGAAGGGCTTGTCCCAGATAACAACCACATAGCAACATAAAGAACAATCTGCTTACCTGATAAATAAGAAATAAGTTCATACTACTTGGTGTTAATCACTTCTGATGAAGTCTTCTCTCGAAACGAAGTTGAAGCCGGACTTTTCGTAAATCTTTGGAAATTTTTGGACTTGAATCTTTGTATTGTACTATTTTGGACTTCATATTTGATACTGTAATCTTTGGACTTAAATTTTTGAATTGTACCATTTTGGATTTTGCATATTAAGTGTTATTTGATTTATTTTCTCAATATAGTTCTCTGCATTTGATAGCGACTTCCCCAGTTTGTGTTTATTGTTTGATATATACTGGGAGGTCTTTATGGTGATTGTTGTCTATAATAACACATGGCAGGCCTTCCATGCATGGTGCGGGGAATGAGGTATCGACCCCATGGAGGCTCCCACAGGGGAGATCCTTGCCCTTTTACAAGAGGGTCTGGACAAGGCATTTAGCACTAGTACCCTATGTAGACAAGTGGCGGCCATATCAGCCATTAGGGGGGCTAGGAAAGGTCAGTCCTTGGCTAGTCATC